TTCTCCCTCTATGTAGTACCCATTGTGTTCCAACACTTAAGTTTTTGTTAGTTACAAGTATATTTCTTGGTATCTGTGTTTGAGTGCAATGTTTATTTTATGACCATTTTATGATTATAAATTTAAATTTTCCTTTTCTCAGAAATTTGCATAATAAATAGACCAAGGGAAGTTTTTCATTTTCTTATTTAAATCATTTAAATCATTGGTTTGCTGCTTTTTTGTTTTGTTTTTGTTTGTTTGCCTCTGTAAAGGGCTAACACACTATTGTACAAAGTTGACTGAGCTTTTGGACATCACTGTTAGTTCTAAGATTTATAACATTCAGAAAGAACTTTTAAAGGCAGCATAGGGAGAGGACACACATTTGCTAGTATGTGCTAGTAGTGTTAGAACACACACATGCGCACACCTATCATTTTTGTTTTGTTTTTGTTTGCTTGTTTGTTTAATTTTTGAGATAAGGACTCAGATATTTCAGGTTAGCACTAAACTTACTATTTAGCCAGGATTGGCGTTGAACTCCTCATCACCTTGCTTCTGCTTCCCAGCTATAGATACCAAAAAACATTGAAAGTTCTCTAAAGGGTATAATTGACCTCTGTATATGTGATACTGGGGATTGAACCAAGGACCTCATGAACTCTAGGCAAAATCCCCTTTCATGAGCTATATCATCCCTAGCCTTTTTACTATTTTGAGACAAGGTCTCACTAAGTTGTCCAGATTGGCCTCAGACTCATAATCCTCCTGCCTCAGCCTGTAAAACTGTTTGGATTGTAGGAATATGGCATCACTCCCAACTGAACAAAAACATAGATTATTAAAGTTAGAGAAACAAAAAAATTCCCAGTATGTACAAGGCTCCCAAGAAGTCAGTTATACATTAATGAAGATAATGCCCTTCCAGAATAGGTGTTTGCGTATGAAAAAGACACAGAACTTGCAAGAAAAATCTTCCCTAAAAGCCAAGGAGGTTTCATTTATTGATCTTTAGTAAAGGGACACTTGAAGAAATGTGCTGATGGGGGTAGAGATTCAGTGACTCCCATGATACTTTTACATTAAAATCATTCCATAAATTTAAGTTCTAAGGAGAACTACTGTCTTTCTCTGAGTCTTTTACATTTCTATTCTCAAACACTTAAAGCAGAGCTGGAGAGATGGCTCAGGGGTTGGAGGTACTTGCAGAGGACCCAAGTTTGGTTCCCAGCACCCACATGATGGTTTACAACCATCTGTATCTTCCAAGCCAGGGGCATCCATGTGGTATGCAGACAAAAACCTGTACATATGAGTTAAGCATTAAAAACAAAACAAACAAAAAATATTAAAGCCATTTAGTACCAGATTTTAGGTTTTTTTCTTCAGGGCTCAAATCACTTTATTACATTATTCATCAGGAGCCAGACAACAAAATGTTGCCCAATATTGTAGTCTGTCTGTGAGCATTTGCATTACTCCTTCTAATTATATCTTTATAGCGTTTGTCCCTAGGATTTCAAGGCTTTGGAAGATATACACTTGACAAACAGTATTCCATATTCACTCCTAGGAAACTGAATGAGCTTTGCATACTGTCTGTGATGAGCTTCTGTTATTTCATCTCCATTAGTGACCGTATTGATGGCTTACCATTAGTCATGCCATAGCCCCTTTGTGTTACTCTGATGTCTATGATTCCATCTTATTAAAAGTCAGTACTTCCTCTGTTGCCTTTGGCTATGTGTCCTTCCTATTATTTTATCAATTGAAATTTCCTTTATTCATTTTTATAGAGCTTTCCATTAAGGGGATTTCACTATTTCTGCATTAATGCCTGTGGTTCCACATGAATGTATAGAATTGTAAAAGATCTGAGATTTTTCTTATAAGTTACCAAATTACCTTGACATAATATAATGGATACTCACAGTGTTTCATATTTATTGCAGTTGCTCATCTTTCATTTGATGTGCATAATTTTTATTTTTGGACCATCTCTGAGATAGAGGCCAAAATTCTGAGCTATAATTTAAAAACACATATACCCTCTCACATTTGTCCTAGCTTCCTGTCCTTGCTTATGTTTGGGAGATTTTTGTGATATTGCATCATTTTATCTTTTCTATTATTGGATCAATCTTTTTGGCTCAAATATTTGTCACTTACTCTGTTACTGTTAGTATGGCCTAACACCTTAATACCAAGTTTATCTAATCAATACATATTGTTTTCATTCTCCTTGAACATTCTGTCTTAAATTTTTTTATTCTAATCACTATATCATGGCATATCTATCAGTACTGCATATAACCCATTATTTATAGACAATTATAACATTACTAATTCTGTTTTCCAGACATTGTCCAAAAATGATCTTTCCCATAGAGCATAACAAAACTGTGGCCTATGAATCTAACATCTGAATTGCATTTATACTATTTTGTGTGGTGTCACCTTCCACTGTTTTCCTACTCTTCCTTCAGTTATTACAGTATTTCAGGCTCTATTTGAAACTATAATATAAATGCTATTATTCTACTCTGTATACAGATGAGAAAAAAAGAAAGCAGAGTAACTATACAGTTAGAAGGTAAGAAGGCAGAATGTTAAACCTTAGCTCACCACCTCTTTGCCTGTCTTTCTAAATGTCTCTCATATGAGAGTTACAGAAAATATGTAGTATTTTGTTTTACAGTGATAAAACAAATTTTAGCTTTTTGTTGAATTTGATTGTATGAGAGAACCTTCAAGAATATAGCAGAAAATGAACAAAGATTAAGAAATAGGCTTAGTGAGTATTTTTAGGGAATAATGAAAACATTTCATTTTCTCCATAGAAATGATAAATAACCAGTTACCTTGACATTCAAGGTTTATCCACTAGAACTCTACTAAAGAAATACTTTGTTTTAAAAAATATATACATTCTTAGATTAATTAGATTTTTTAAAAAAAATACTACTAATTGGAGATTGAGATAATAACTCAGTAGTTTAGAGTACTAGCTGCTCTTCCAGAAGACCAGATTTGATTCCTTGCACCCACATGAAGGCTCACACCCATCTCTAATTCCAATCCCAGGGGATCTAACCTCTTTTGGCCACAGTAGGCACCAGGCATGTATGTGGTTCACAGACACACATGCATACAAAACACCCATACACATAAAATGATAAAATAATATAACAAAAAAAAACATGTTCTAAAAAGCAAATAAGATACTGCTAATTGTATATAATTTGTTGAGAGTACTGATTTATTTTTAATAAGAAATACTTTATTAGTAAGAGAATAATAAAACTGTAAGTGTTTATTGTAAGGCCTCTTCACCTTCCTTTTCCTTGAGACATTTTTGTCCAGCCCAGCATTATTTGTTTAACATGTAATGAAATTTGATCTAGCAAGAAGTGTTAGATGTATGTTGAATTTTTGCCAAATTTCAGAAGAAAGATGTTATTTTGTTTTCGCTAATTTTTGTCCAGCAGAGGTCTTGTCATGACAGGTTTACAAACTACTGAATGTGGTTTCTTTATATTCAAAAAAGACTGCCCACATACTCAAAGTATGAGACAGAGAGAGTGAGTATTGTAGCTTACATCCAGGACCTCACACGTACTAGGAAAATGTTCCACTAGTTTACAATCCCCAGGCCAAAAATAAGAGTCATGATTTTGTGATAAAGCTGATTCCTTTCCGTAATCTTGGGACTAAAGATGTTATAACTCTCCATTAGATTTTATAGCTTTCCATTCATCCTTGAAATATACAAAAAAAATATTATCCACTAGTATATTCATTACCTTTACAGATTCAAAGGAAATGGGAAGAAATGAACTGATATCAAAGTTTAGGAAGAAAAGAAGCATGAGGGGTAGTTGGCCTAATGGGGATTTTATGTGGAATCCTTTGTTTTTACTTGTGTGGATATTCTATTTTTAAAAACTTATTTCTCTTTCTACAATACAGAATTAAACACCCTTATAACTTACTATGTAAGACTCTGGATTTACTGCTATCTGGTAATTTTTAAAATGATAAAGAATAATGTTAATTAAGATTAGTTAACTAATGTTAAGTTAAATTTTTGTCATTAAAATGCCATTTTATATAGTACCTTAATTATTCACAAAAATAATTTTTCTGTCACCCAGTTTATCCATATTTGTGAATTAAAGAAACTGGTCTATAGGATATACACAACATTTTATTTTTTTCCTATAGTTGATTTAAAGGGCATCTTTTACAAAAACAAGCTTGCAAAGGCCCTTGTTAGTACTGTATTAAACTCTGTTAAAAATACTTTCCCTTTGCTAAAATGAGTAGAATTACTAGCAAAAACTTGCAAACAAATGTTTGCATTAGGAGGCTAAAACTAGGAACTTCTAAGTCGTTTACATCCAAAAGAACTGTTTGAAATATACCTAAGAAAATATTTATTTTCTAATAATTTAACTTAAAAAAGATATTTGACTTTTGAACTAGTATTTCCTTCAGGGTGAACTAGTACTTCCTTCTCTAGGCTTATTATTCACTTCCCTTACCACTGAGTTTTAATTCTCCATTTCTTCCTAGTTGGAACATTGAACTTCTGATTCCAGCTGTGACACAGTTTTAGATGACCTCGTATAGCTTACTGGAGTTAGTCACCAGACCCTTATGCCTTTGCTGCTCACAGGGGGGTTATTTATGATTTAACATGTTGTCATTTCCAGCATGTACTCCGAGAGTCATGTAAATAAACCTGCTTTGAGAGGCTTTAGTTCAGAACACACACACACAGGTTTAGGGTAAGGAAGTAGACAATGAGGACTACTGTAAAGCAAATTGAGAATGTCAGCTTTATAATTATGAACTATACACATGTTTTGTAATCTGCTGTATACGTTGCCCAATTTAAATAAACTGAATAATAAAGGAAGTCAAAACTAGACTCGATTTTATTTGGCCTTACAAATTTGTCACAATTGTTAATTAACAAAAATGAAGGTTTGATAATGACTTCCTTCTCTTTTCAGAGTATTTGTGTAACTGTTCTGAGGTTGGAAGCTTGGATGTGAAGCGCTGCAACCAGACATCAGGGCAGTGTGAGTGTCATCCAGGTTATCAGGGACTTCATTGTGAAACCTGCAAAGAGGGCTTTTACCTCAATCACACTGTTGGTCTCTGTCTGCCATGTCACTGCAGTCCACATGGATCTCTTAGCATCCTGTGCAACAGGTAAGCAGCAGAGGGTGGAGGTGAAGTCCATTGTATTTTAGTAAGGAAAAAATGTACTGGGGAGCTAGGAGGAGTCAGAGGAAAAGAGTAGGGGATAGGAATGACTAAGATTACCTATGTGTGTGTGTGTGTGTGTGCGCGCGTGCGCGAACATATGTGTGTACACGCACACACAAAAACACACACACATATGTAAAAGGATAAAAAACAAAGGTTTCTGCTGTGGGGAATGAGCCATTTAATTAATGGGGAAAGTCACTATGTCATAGATTTATAAAATTTTATATACATTAATTCTATCACTTTGTATATTATATTTAATATCATAATTATAAAACATTCATTTTCTGCTTTAGTTCATTAAGAGGACCTGGGCTTTGTAATGGTTTTTCTAAGTTTCCTGAAGAAAAAAAAAATCAATGAAAGATTCTGTTTACTGAGGGAGTTCCTTTCAGGCATGTTTAGTGGAATATTCTTGTTGTATTTATTAAGATGTGACTGTATATTAAGGTAACATATTCTTGACTTTTTCTGTTATCAAAAGTCTCAAATTTGTGTGCACTATTTATTGTTGATGTTTTTGTTTTGCCTTCTTATTGTGGGGAGGGGTGCCATTGCACTTGTGTGGAGGTCAGATCTCTATTTGTATAGGTCCTAGAAACTGAACTCAAGGCATCAGGCTTAGTGGAAAGCACCTCTACCCACTGAGCCATCTCAGCAATCATACATCTATTTTTTAATGAGTAGAAAATAAACTTTATTCTTATGGGGAGATGGGTGTGGAAGAGATACTAAATTAAATTATTTTCTATTTGGAAGTGACTTAATCTTATGGTACCATACCCTGTTCTTTGACCTTGTATGAGTGAATAGCTGGTGTTTTGTGAACCTCAAGCAAGAAGCTGAAGAGCCAGCGTTTCACAGTGACAAGAACATAAACTTTAGAGTTAATGTAATCTGTCTGTGGACCCAGTATCTCAGCCATTTCTGAGTTGCACTGTGCTCAGTGCAGTTCCACTTATTTCAGTAACTCAGCTTCTTCTCAAGGCTGCTATAAAGTGAAATAAGTTGGTGCATATAAATTGTTTAGCACATACAAATCAAGAAATTCATATTTCATTCCAAAGGAATATTGGTGAATTGAGGATTTTTTTAAATAATACTTTAATTAAATCTTTGAGAATTTCATATATGCATACCATGTATATTATTATATTTATACCACACTCCTTATGATAAACTTTAAAAGAATTTTATAGTTCCATGTTTAAAATATGCTTTAGTGTTTACCAATATATATTTTAGGTGGTTTATAAACCATTGTGTTTTTATATAATATTATATAATGTGCTTGTATTAAAATATAGAATTTGACTGAAAACTTTATATTTTGAAATGCAACAATAATGAATGTTTATGATGTTCAGTATCTTCAAAGTTAATGTTGTCTTAATCCTTATAGTAACTCTTTATTCGTAGGTTAGTAGGTCACAAAGATATTAAAGGACAGAAAAGGAATTCCAAATTAGGCCTTCCAAGTCCAAGCCTGGCTTTACTACCATGCCACATGCCACCTATAATGAAAAGATTGATACTCTGGTTTTTGAGATTGAGACTATAGTACTTTTTAAAAGACAAACAAACAAACAAAAACAACAAACAGCTGTGTAGCCCTGGATAACTTGGAACTCTTAAACCAGGCTCTTCTCAAACTCATAGAAATATAGCTTCCTGTACTGCCTCTGTTTCTGTCACTTCTGCCTCTGCTTCTCAAGTGTTGGGATTAAAATTGTGCACCACTATGCCTGGCACTATTTAGAAATCTCTTACTATACCCCCAAATCCATGCCCACACAAGTCATAATTTAGAAACTCCTCACTTAGTTTTATTGTGGTACTGGTGACTGAACCCAGGATCTTGTGCATTCTAAACAGGCACTCTACCACAAAGTTATAGTCTCAGGCCAACACACCTACCATTTTAAAAGACAAGATGCTAACAAGCTGATAATTTGCTGACGACCTTAATATCTTAAGATATACGTACTTTCTGAATCTCAATGCTTTAATTTATACAATATTATTAATATATATAGCATGAAGGATGTCTATGAGAATTAAATTTTGTGTGGTATGTATATATTTACATTGTGAGCTGTATATAGGTTTGACTCAATAATTCAGTAACTCTAGGAATTAAATCTGATTTGTTTGTTTTGGTTTCATTCTAAAGTGAGAAATAGGGGCTGGAGAGATGGCTCAGAGGTTAAGAGCACTGCCTGCTCTTCCAAAGGTCCTGAGTTCAATTCCCAGCAACCACATGGTGGCTCACAACCATCTGTAATGAGATCTGGTGCCCTCTTCTGGCCTGCAGGCATACGTGCAGACAAAATACTGAGGATACTGTATACATAATAAATCTAAAAATAAATAAATAAATAAAGTGAGAAATAGAATTAGTGTCTCACAAAGGAGAAAGCTTAAGTCAGCAGGCTTGGATATGAGTACAAAATGGAGTCATTTTTAGTAAGTTGTAGGAGAAATTATTAATTATAAAAGAAAAAAACTGCTTTTTTCTATTGTCATAAACCCAATTATAGCATTGAAAACTAACATTCTATGTTTTAGGAAAAGAATATCTAAAATTAATTGAATATATGCTAAACAATTATCTGTGCCCTTCACATATTTTCATTTAAACCTCATATCAAACATATGAAGTAGACACTAGCATTGTCATTCTTTGCGGCTTTGAACATTTGCCTAGGTAGTAGCTAGTAAGATAGAGAGTAGTTTCTAAAATACTTTCTAGAACTAGAGTACATACTCCTGTCTACTATCATGATACATCCTTTCTCAGAACCAAGAGAGTAAGCATTGTCATTTTGCGCTCTGATTCTTAACTACTAATGTTCAGAGTACTTGAATTATTAAGGAATTTCCTCCAGTGGTCTTCTGACCCTGGTAAGATAATTCATGCTAAATCCTAACTAATACCAGTGTAGATTTAGAAGATAAAGATCAATCCTGTAAATAAGTAGCTTCTGTGGTGCTTATGTTGCTTTCTCATTACACTAGTACCTTGGAGTGAAAATATACATTTGTTCTTATCAGGAAACATATACTCTATAAAGACTAAGGACATAGACTGCTAACTAGAAAGTAACACATAAGAGTGTCTGTTATCTGCTGGCCTAGTCTGTCACCTGGGTACCCTGTCCCTTTAAGAGACAAATCCGCTCACTCCAAAACTGCCCTTCCACTGAGGCAAAGGGACCCTTCCTCTCTCTGCCCTCTCCCTTCCCCCACTTTGCTTTCCCCACTTTCCCCTCCATAATCCATTAGATAAACTCTCTGCATGATGTATCTGTCTGTCTCTCAGACCCGACCCACTGTGGTCTCCCACCCACTTGCTGTCAAGGCCTCAGGTGACCCTCTGCTGCCCCTCGTGGGATCAGTCCTCCCCCACCATGTTTATAAATGATAACAGTATCTGAATGCAAGCCTTTTAGTTACCAAAGGAACTGAGATGCGCCTTTTTGGGTTCTGATTTAAGGAAGTAGAGCGATAAGACCTTATTGTGGAGAAGTAACTCCGAATTCTGGAGAATTTCCTAAAATAATACAAGGAGATGAGAAATCGCGTCCCTTAATGCCTACCTAAAATCTTCTTTTGTCTTGATCTCTCTATTCTCGTTAATAATGAATAGAAGTTCTGATCTGACTTTTTCACACATTGAAGGTCTATGGAATAAACAATTGACTTTTTAAAAATTCATTTTGCCACTCTTTCAGTCCGTATGTTCAATGGGAGTTGCTTCAGTGAGGGTAGATTTTGGTTGTAGGAGCCAGATGTTAGTTGAGCAGTGTCTTTGTGTGCAAACACAAAGTCCTCTATGTACTGACAGAAGGTCACCCCCTCATGTCAGTATTGGTGTTCCAGTCAGTTTAATTGGAAAAAGTTGACCTGTAGCATCTGAACTTTTTTATTTTTGATTTGGGTCACATTCCTAGTGTTTTCCTGATCACATTTTGATCTTCAATAAATAAAGAAAGATGCAATAATTTTTTAACTTTGTTATTCATTTTACATACCAACCACAGTTCCCCCTCCCTTTCCTCATCCAGGTCACCCCACTTTACCACACCCTAACCCCATCCACTCCCCAGAAAGGGTAAGCCCTCTCATGGGGAGTCACTGAAGCCTGGCACATTAAGCTGAAGCAGAGTCAAGCCCCTCCCACCTATAACAAAGCTGAGCAAGGCATCCCACCATAGGGAATGGGCCTCAAAAAGCCAACTCATGCACCAGGGATAGATCCTGGTCCCACTGCTAGGGGCCCCACAAACAGACCAAACCATATAACTGTCATCCATATGCAGAGGGACTAGTTCAGTCCCATGCAGACTCCCCAGCTGTCGGTCCAGAGTCCAAGAGGGTCCCAGAAGCTCAGTCAGCTGACTCTGTGGGTCTCCCCAAAGAGATAATATTTGATTTAAAAAAAAACACTTCTGCTAGTAATGTCCTAAATCTTTTCATATATAGCTCTTAAGATATTTTCAGATCTGACCTTATATGTAAGTAATTAAATGTATCTGCAATATTTAAATATTCATAATATTAGGATACATAATTTGGTATTTTAGGTGACCTTAACATGGTAAGTTCTATGATGATCTAATATTTTTCCCCTTAAAATCCATGTTTGCTGCTATATAGTATATCTTGAAATTCTTATTACTTTGCTTTTTCAGTTATTGGAAGATGCTGCAAGTAAGAAGGCAAATGTTAATTATGTCATAAACAAACACCAAAATTAATTTCAAATAGAAAGATTCCAGAACTCCTCCAAGGCTTATGTCCATAGAGGGTACAGAAAATAATTTTTGTGTGTAGTATTTGGGGGAAACAACTGGTACAAAATCACTACTTTTTTGTAAAGTTCTAAAAATTTTGAAAAGAAAACTTTTGATCACTGAAAGCAACAATGTGGAAAGCTT